GGTACTGTTGGGAACGGTGCTTTGTCCTCACACCTGGGGGGCTGTGTCCCCTAGTCCCCACAGCGCTGTGGGCTGCATGCACAGCTGCTGAACATCTGTAGCGTGAGCACCAGCTGCTGGCCCTGCGCTTCGGGGTCTGAGCAGGGCAGCACAAACTGCTTCTGGTAGGAGCCGAGGGGGTGGCAGCAGCTGCAGTGGGTGTCCACCTGATTCGTGTGGATGTTGAGGCTGCAAAGAAGCCAGAGCCAGGAGCGTAGGTCAGGGCCACCGCCCAGGAGTGCTCCTGTGTCTCCTGGACCACTCCAGAGCGAAGGGTGGGTACTGAGTCCCAGGCGGGCCCTCAGGGGTGTGCCCAACCCCTCCCGGCCCTTACTGACCTCCCCGGCTCTCAGGCAGTCAGCCGAGGGTCTGCCTTTGCCTTAGGCAGGCGTGATGGAGGTGGGGTGCTGGCTAAGGCTACCTGACTGGGTAGGATGCTGCCTGGGGCCAGGAACCTGCTCTTGGATGGGGCAGGCTCCAAGCTCCGGGCCCAGCCCTCTTTAGAGGCTGCTTGGGACCAACACTCACCTGGCCGAGGAGGCACAGAAGCCCTCACAGTGGGTTACTGTCACATTGGCAGTGCACCCTCGGTATGTGACCTCCTCCTCAAGCTCCTTCACGTCGCAGACCCCTGGGAGACGAGAGGGGTGTGGTCAGATGCCAGCTCCAGGGCACGGTTGGAGGGCTGACACGTACCTGACCCTGGGGACAGGACACGGGAAGTGGGGATGAATGCAGCTCCGTGGAGTAAGGGGGGCAGGTTGCAAGCTGCACAGTTGCTTCTATGAGACAAGTATCCCTTCCTGCCCGTGATGGGGTCTCCCCTGGGCTCCCACCCCTGCACTTGGGCCCCGGCCCCACTGACCTCGGACCTCACAGCTCTGCATGGGAACAAAGGCTGATGGGCTCTCATTTTGGGTGTTCTTCCTGAGAGCTGGATACCCTGGGAGTCCCCCCAGGTCAAGGGTATTCTGAGCCCTGGTGGGCCACTCTCAGGCCCCTCCTGCAGTGGGCATGGGCGTCTCTGGTCTGCTGAGACCAGAACCTGCCAGAGGGATGGGGGAAGGTCTACACATCCCTGGAGGAGACGGATGGCACCTCAGGAGCTCCCTGCAGGGGTCTGTGCTCTTGGACGGGCAGGGTGTGGACCCAGCCATAGATGCTGGCCTGCTGGCAAGCTGCCTCGGGCGCCCTGGCAACAGGCAGAGTGGCACTGGCCTCAGGACCCGCTCATGTGGAGCTTAAATGAAAAAGCTAAGATGTTCCTGAGCAGATACTGCCCAGTCTGCCCTTTCTGCCCTGCCTGCCCTATGTGTCTGCTGGAGGTGGGGGCTCCCACTGCCCTCAGCTGTCCTCCGACCCCATCTCCTGCTTCTGCTCCCTCACCCCTCATCCCCTCCTCATGGACAGCCTGCACCCAGTCCCTGTCTCACAGGAGGAAATCCATTACTGTGGACAGGCCTGCCTGGGGGACGGCAGGGGACATGTGAGGGGAACCCACGGTACCCCGGGGGTACTGTGCAGGAAACACCTGGAGGGGAGGGGAGGGGTGTGTCTGGAGGACAGGGGGGCCCTTGGCTGCCAGTCCTGCCTGCCACCAGTGGTCTCCTGGAGGGAGGCATGTACCTATTGGCCTTTCGTTTTCCTCTCTTTCCTCAGGGAGGGTGGGAATACTTGAGTCCCAGGACGCCTGCCTCTCCTGAACTCCTGTGATCTCAGGAAGGGGCAGCCGTGGAGGGCTTCTAAGGGAGTTGCCTCCATAGGAGGCCGGAACCATAGCAGGGGATGTAAGGTGGGGGTAGGGCATGAGTGAGTCAGGTACAGGGCAGGCATGCAGGCCCACATGAGGGAAAGGGGACCTCCTAGGGGAGGCCAGGCACCCCTTTTGGCCAGACTGGAGTGTATTAGAGAGGTGTCTAGAGAGGAGTGGGGAGAGGGGCTGGAGGCAGCTCAAGGAAGGCTGAGAGAACTATCCTAAGGACTTGGGGTACACACAGAAGAGGGAGGCATGACTCAGTCCCTGCCTGCTGGTGGGAATGTTGGCTTTCTCAGATGCCAGAAGGACATGGGGTTGATCGGAGGGATGGGGGTGGCCTCAAGTCTGAGCTCAGCATGCTGTGCTGTCCGCTGACCTCAGGAGAAGTGAAGGCTTTATGGGCACAAAAGCGGATCACACTGCATGACAACCAGTGAGCCCCTGTCAGCAGTGTGCACATTGGGCTGGGAGGGCGGCAGAGTGGGGAACGCACTGAGGCAGGAGCACAGCCAGAAGTCATTGGGCAGTGAGAGGACAGTGAAAGGCCGGGACTCTGTGGTCGCAGGCCGCGGGGCTCTCCAGGGGGATGAGGCACAGCTGAAGGATGCTGTGCACGAAGGTGGCAAGGTGGGCTACAGAGATATATCCCTTACCTGGAGAGCTGGACGAAGGTGTCACCAGAGAGGAGACGGATGGTGCCCCAGTAGACAAGGACCCTGTGGCATGAAGGGATGAGCTTCCATGGACAGAGGTCGAGCTGGCCAGGATCATGGTGGTTGACACTCCAGTGGTAATAGATTGTCCAGTGGTGAGGTTAGTAACTGGAGAAGTCAGAATGGCTGTCACCCCCACAGTGGAGGAAAAGAGACTGGATGTAGGGTTTCGGGTGGTGAGAGTCGTAGACTGTGAGGGGGTAGAGTGGGAAGAGAGAGTGTGGGACACGGGAGTGCTGGGTGTGGTCCTGGGCAAAGAAGGAAGAATGCTGGTGCTGGCCAGGGAGACAGGAGTCCCAGGAAGAGGAGGCTTGGTGGGCAAATTAGAGGGAGGAAAGTTGTGGGTGGGCAGAGAAGAGGCTGAGGACAAGGTGGAGGTGGAGGTGCCTGGGAAAGAAACAAAGGAAGAAATGGAGGCTGTGCTTGATGTACTTGGGAAGCCAAGGGAGGTCAGGGTGTGAATGCCAGAACTTGAGCTTGTGACCTGTGGAGGCGGAGAGAAGAGGCCCGTGTGCCTGGCAGTGGAGGGGGAAAGAGGGGTCTCCGGGTGTGTTGGGGTGATGACACGGGTACTGGGAGTCACGGAGGACGTGGTAGAGGGGACAACATGCGTGGAGAGGGTGGTGTCTGGGCGCGATGGAGTGGGCAAGGTGGTGGTAGTCCGGAAGGGTGTCCCCGTGGGGGGAACTGTCGTATGGGCGGTGGTGGAGACAGGTGGCGTGGGCACAGAGTGAGAGGTGAGCGGCGTCTGTCGCTCGCTGCTGGTGGCCGTGGCTGTGGCGGTGTGTGTCATGGAGGTCAGAGTTCCCGTGGGAGGTGGCTGTGGGGAGACAGAGGATTTGGGAGTGGTTGAGATTTCGTGGTGGATGGGTACAGAAGAGTAAGATTCCTTGGAGGTGGAGGTTTTGGTTGTGCTGAGCGAGCTAGGGGTGTGCGTGGTCCGAGTGAGTGGCGGGGTCGTGGCCTTGGCAGTGGAGGGGGAGGAAGGGGTCTCTGGGTGTGTTGGGGTGATGACGCGGTGGGTAGTGGGAGTCACGGAGGATGTGGTAGAGGGGGCAACGTGCATGGAGAGGGTGGTGTCAAGTGGCGATGGGGTGGGCACGGCAGTGGTAGTCCGGAAGGAAGTCATCATAGGGGGAACTGTCGTATGGGCCGTGGTGGAGAGACGTGGCGTGGGCGCAGAGCGAGAGGTGAGCGGCGTCTGTTGCTCGCTGTTGGTGGCCGTGGCCGTGGCTGTGGTGGTGTGTGTCATGGAGGTCAGGGTCCCCGTGGGAGGTGGCTGGTGGGAGACAGAGGATTTGGGAGTGGTTGAGGTTTCGTGGTGGATGGGTACAGAAGGGTAAGATTCTGTGGAGGTGGAGGTTTTGGTTGTCCTGAGGGAATTGGGGATGTGCGTGGTCCGAGTGAGTGGCGGGGTCATGGGCTTGACAGTGGAGGGGGAGGAAGGGGTCTCTAGGTGTGTTGGGTTGATGACGCGGTGGGTAGTGGGAGTCGCGGAAGATGTGGTAGAGGAGGCAACGTGCGTGGAGAGGGTGGTGTCGAATGGCGATGGGGTGGGCAGGACAGTGGTTGTCCGGGAGGAAGTCCCCGTGGGGGGACCTGTCATATGGGCGGTGGTGGAGACAGGTGCCGTGGGCGTGGAGCGAGAGGTGAGCGGCGTCTGACGCTCGCTGATGGTGGCCGTGGTGGTGTGCGTCACGGAGGTCTGAGTTCCCGTGGGAGGTGGCTGTTGGGAGACAGAGGATTTGGGAGTGGTTGAGGTTTCGTGGTGGATGGGTACAGAAGAGTAAGGTTCCTTGGAGGTGGAAGTTTTGGTTGTGCTGAGTGAGCTAGGGGTGTGCGTGGTCCGAGTGAGTGGTGGGGTCATGTGCCTGGAAGTGGAGGGGGAGGAAGGGGTCTCTGGGTGTGTTGGGGTGATGAAGCTGTGGGTAGTTGGAGTCACGGAGGACGTGGTGGAGGGGGCAACGTGCGTGGAGAGGGTGGTGTCGGGGTGCGATGGGGTGGGCAAGGCAGTGGTAGTCCGGAAGGAAGTCCCCGTAGGGGGACCTGTCGTATGGGCGGTGATGGAGACAGGTGGCGTGGACGCAGAGTGAGAGGTGAGCGGCGTCTGTCGCTCGCTGCTGGTGGCCGTGGCCATGGCGGTGTGTGTCATGGAGGTCAGAGTTCCCGTGGGAGGTGGCTGTGGGGAGACAGAGGATT